TCTGATTTCTATCCGATTTCTATAGGCAGCACGGAAACGAGAAGCAAATCGATGAGCAAATCGGAAGGCAAGCGATTTCTCTTGTTGTCTGTTGGTGGCATGTTCTCCGCATTCATGCTTGTCGAATAAGGCGGTTGGCCATGTCAGGTGCGGGAGTGCCCTTCAGCACCTGTTTGGCTATCGCCCTAAGGCTTGTACTACTCGTATACGAGTATGTTTAAGATTTCGGCGCATCCCCATTCGTGTACTCGTAGTATTTCCATCTTTATCGCCGAATAAAAAAATCATGGCCTGCCTGTAGACATTACAGTCATTCGTTTTGATTTCAAAAACACTTTATCACTTAATATTGTTTTATGGCATTTCATTTGCGCGTATTTCGCGCCCCACCCATTCCACTTCACGGTCGCGTCTGCCCCATTCTGCTGATTCTGTTGTTCTTCATCGCTCGCTCCCTGTGGCCCAATTCTTGTTAAGTGAAACAATTGAATTGTTAACTGAACAATAAAGTATTTTATTTTTATTAGATTTTTGCTTGCCACTCAACTTTTGCCGATGACGATGACAATGCTATTGCCTTTGCCTCTACCATTGCCAGTGTCATTGTCCTCGTTCTCGTTCCCGTTCCCTTTCCCGTACCCAGCCCTCCCAACGACGCGTCGGCCATTGCTTAACTGCCTTTCATTCCCAAATTCATGTGGCAAATGCGGTGGTTGACGGTGGTTGGCGGCTGGCGGCTGGAGGCTGGCGTTTGGTGGTACGCAGCTGGCGACTGCCGCAAGTAGATTTCTGACATATTTGTTTCCTCTTGTTATTTGTCATTTGTTGTCATGCGTTTTTCTCCTTAGCCTGGGAGCTTCCTTTTATTGTTGGCGGTTTTTGATTTTCTCTGTTGAATTTTTTTTTGTGTGCTATTTTCATCTTTTTTTTGCTTTGGTGTAAAGATGTTCTTGCTGTTGTTGCTTCTGATATTGGCAGACTATTTAGGTTTTTAAATTTATAGTCTTTTTAAGTTTTACGCGCCTTTCTTAAATTGCCGGTCAACTTAGGTTATGTGGCCTTTGACGCATACTCAGTCCTAGTGTAAAATATATTAACGTAAATGTATACCCAAATGTAGGATGCAATTCCAATTTCCCTAAACTTAATAAACATTTTAAGGGTACTTGTGTACCTACCGGAATAGCTGGTTTTAAATAACATTTCAAATAACACCCGAACTCAAGCCGTTATCACACCGGTTGGCGAAATAGAAAAGTTTTTTGCGAACGAATTTCGCTCCAGTACTACGCCCATAAACTGCAGCACCAAGTTCGCTCTTCTTCCTCTTAGATTATGTTTTTTTATGAATGCAGGACAGCTACTACTGCCAGAATATAAGCAGGGATCTTCACTGTTAGGATTAAACTTTGTGCATAAGCACTTACAGAGTGTAATTAGCAGAAACAGAATCAATTACGAGAGTTATGGGAAAACACATAAATCGAGGAAATGGTCCACAAAAAATATGGTGCTTATAATTTCGAGACCTTTGAGTTAATACAAATGTACCAATAGAAAAAGCTCTATCCACATATCTCAAATTAAAACGTTTTTCAATATTTGCAATTATATACTTTCTTTACTAATCGAATGTTATTTTGAAAATTTGATTTGCCCTTTATATTATTTCCCCTCCTGCACCCTCAGATATACTTCTCCTTTGTTTCCCTTTTATATAATTTAAACAATAGCGCTTACCAGATTTATGATGACGCAGTTGATAACAATCCGGATTAGCATAGAATGAAGTGTCAATATTGCTTAATACTTGTATATGCATTTGCCCATTTAATCCAATGCAGGCACTCATATGGATATGTACTATGAGTTAAAGCTTCAGTTCAGAAATCTAATTCGGTAACAGGCCCTGCTCTACTGCACTAGTAGTACTATTAAATGCTACTCACGCAGGACATGTTGTGCGTCAAGTGTGCATCTCTACTTGCCCTTGGTGGCTCTAGTCAGGAGACCTTGGAAAGCATTAAATAATGGGCAGTGTTCACAAAACTCGGAAGGGTAAAAAAAAACCTAAGTAATAGAATTAGTCATTTTGTAAATCCGTGCGTATATCCTGATAGTCTGATCGAAAGTGTATATACTTACTTTTCGGGTACAGAGGACGAACAGGATTTGGTGAGGCACAACTTTTTAGGCATAGTTAGCCACTTTCTGCCCATTGTTCTCAAAATGACAACTTCATTCAAGCGTTAATTTTAAGCGCGTTAAATTTCTTTTGCAATGGCAATGATTAAATCAAAGGCTGTGATTTTCTGCGGCACACCAACAAGGACCAGGGCGTGCACAAGGAGGACGTGGGGGTGGAGGAGGAGCAGGAGGAGGAAGAGCATGCTTGAGTGCGTAATCAACTTACAAGATTAAAAACTACAAAGTGCGTGAGAGTGGAGCTAGTGTTTGATAGCGAAAGCCTCGTAAATGCGAATGGGCATTGGTACAAAATTGAGTAAAGCTCAAAAAGCAATTAAATTGAAGGCAATCAGCAGCCAGACAGATAGATCTTTACGCGCTCCGGTGCAGGCGCCTTAAAATAGACAACACATTGTTGGGATTCTGAAAAGTTTGGCGTGTGAAGCGACGGCGTCTGCGAGAAATTTTATTGAAATTTTAAAAATGTGCACAGGCGGAGGCTGGCACCCAAACTTTACAGTATGTATAGTATAGTATAGTATACCAACATGTAGCATTCACACAGGAGAGGTTCAGGGCAGAAGCTGCGAAAGCCACACGAGCATCTTGCGTTCGTATCTTTGCGTCAATACAGCAACAGCAATTTTTAATGTCATTTAACAAAGTTTTCGTTGTCCTTCAGTGGGTTCTCAGACACACCTCCCCCATTCCCGTGCCCGTGCCCGTCCCCGTTCCCGTTCACAACACAGCCAGTATAGTGTACACATAAAAGGCGTAAGCCGTAAAAGGGGAAAGCGCCAACGAAACCGAAGAGTAAACGTAAAGTTGTGCAACTTTTGATGAGCCCAAGAAGTTACATGGTTGATTGTCATTCTCGATGACGATGACGATGGCAATGACGACGTTGTTGTTGTTGTTGTTGCTCTGCTTGTTGCTGCGCATTTTGTTGTTGTCATCCGTGTGCCTTGAGTGCCTTTCCAAGGGCTACTCTACAAGGTATGTACAAGGCACATAGTTGCAGTAAGTTTAATGCTTGTTGTTTTTTCTTATGCCACAGACAAACATCTTCCTTATATCTTCCCCATCATATCACACGTTGCCACATATCAGGCATTTATCTATTGCTATCTGTTGGTGCCATTCCAAAGCGACAATACAACTCAATAATTTCTGCATTTTTGTCTATTTCAATTCGTACTAAATTGATCAATAGACTTTTGCTAACATCAAAGTCTTTAACTTAACTAAACCCACTTTTTTTTGTTCAAATTCGCAGTGGAAGTCGTCTCAAATTAGGAAACTACACCGATAAGGAGGATAACAAAGCACCGTAGAGATAGTGACATAAATTCGCATACGCGTACATTGAGAGATGGCAGTCTACCTATGTATATCATATTTTATACAAATTTCACGAGGCAACATCTGCAACTAAAACTGTCGTAAACAAGTCGTGTGTCCCGACTTTAAAATACTCTGTACATATTTGTAAAAATTAAGTAAATTAAAAAAAAAAAAGAAAGGAATGCTAAAGTCGAGCAGGCTCAACTCTCAAATACCCTGTACCACCCCACAAAAAAGAAATTAAATTAATTAATTAATTAATTAATTAATTAATTAATTAATTAATTTAATTAAATTAATTAACTAAATTAATTTAATTAATTAAAAATGAACAAACTCGTCCTTTCTCGGGCTCAGAAGAATCTGTATACCAAGTTTGGTTATTCTAGCTCTTATACTTTCGGAGATCCTTGCGTTCATACAGACAGACAGACGGACAGACAGACGGACATGGCTATATCGATTCGGCTTGTCATGCTGATCAAGAATATATATACTTTGTGGGGTCTACCAAGCCTCCTTCTGTGTGTTCCATGTGCACTCGCACAAAACTAATATACCCTTGTACCCTTTGGGTACAGGGTAAAAAAATTATCACCGATTTTACCTCCCTGTGTTACACATTTACATAGAAATTGTGTCTATGTGAGTATATTATTACATTATGTATATTACATTTATTCCCTAAAAATCGGTCCACAATACCCACAATCCCTGTACATCATACATCATACACCAATGTCCAAGAAAACTCATCGGTGCATAATAGATATGTATAATTTTAGGATCTGATTGATCCAATTTGTACAATGCAGTTGATATTAATATGTCCAGCAAGTTTTTCTAAGACAATATTAATTCTACAAGTACTTATTTTCGTTGTTTGTATTCTGAATAGTGCTATAGGATATTAGGATATTGCCCTTTCTTGGGCTAAGAAGAATCTATATATCAAGTTTGATCTCTCTAGCTTTTGTATAGTACTTTTCGAGAATTGGGCTTCAGAAATACATTCACTATATTTTTAAAGGACGTTCCATCTATATTGAGATTTCGTATGATTCCAAATTGAACATCAGTCTTTATTTCTTAGCTATTTTGAGCATGGCTGCGGATGAACTTGGATAATGCTATATGTGTATATGTATATGAACTACTACTACCCAAATAAAGGAGCATTTCACTTTCACATCAATCTACTTGTAATATATGGACATTTCCAATTGAATGCATTGGGTGATCTTCCCCGAAGTTGAAGAGACAGAGACCCTTGACTTCATACTCCCACACAAACATGTTATTATCGTATTTAAATATTATCAATCGCTAATTATCTTCAGTGCAGGGTTATAAGACAGGGACGAGATGATCCAATTTCCATTGATCGGACCTTCGAGTATATACTTGTAGACATGCATCTAGGTGGACTAGAAACTAGCCTATGTATAGCTTTTGATGAAAGTACTTACATAGCCAATTCATGCGTTCCGTGTACTCAACTTTTCGCTTGAGATCTCTAACTAGAGCGCGGAAGTCGTCGTCGTTGAAGTGACACTGTATGATTGTGTTATTTAGCTGCAGAATGCTGTACTCATTGTTGCCGTTGTTGGAAGCGGCGGCCGCAGCTGCGACTGCCACCGCGTCCCTTGCGTCAGCCAACGCATTCGACTTAATGTCGGTGGCGCTGGCACGTAGCTGGCCACCGACAGAAGCCAGGCCGATTCCCGTGGGCGAGGCAGTACCGCCGTCGACGTTGCTGCAGGATTTGCTTAGGATAATAGTGGCGCGATTTGCGATCGAGTTGGCAGCCAACAGATGCTCACCGGCGGCACCACAGCTTCCGCGATGAAAGGGGAACTTGGCCGCCGTCGTAGTGGCACAGTTGTTGTTCTTCAGGGTCATTTGCAGCTGGTTGGATAGAGCGGCGGCGGCATGTACTGCCGCGTGACCACCCACGTGCAGAGGTGAGCAATCACTGGCACGCCGACGGCGTGGGTTGTCTGCGTCCGGTTGCAGGAATGCGGACAGGCTGCGCTGCTGACTAGATGTGGCGGCGGCCTGTGGCGACTGTGCCGCGATCGCCGATGTAGGGGCGGCTGAGGTGGTGTTTGCATTGTAGTTGTTGTAGTTAATGGTTTTGTCGGTGGTGCCAGGCTCGGAGGCACCGCCCTCCACTGCACGATCTATGTTGTTGTCGTTATTGCTGCTGCTGCTGTCGCTGTTGCCGCCGCTGCACGACGCTGACGGGGGCGGCGGCTGAGACAGACGCTCTACGCTCGATGACGACATCAGAAAATTAAGCGGTGTGATTGGTGATTCGCCGTTGCTATTACTCTCCTTTCCGTTCTTGTTTCCGCTTTCGGTTGCACGTCCGTGTCCGTGTCCGTTCTTGTTATTGTCGTTGTTGTTGTTGCTAGTGCCGTTCCTGCAGATATCGTGAGCGTAACCAAGCCCAAGACCAATGCCGTTGCTGCGTCGTCGTCTAATCACAGTCAGCTGGCTGCTACGCTGATCTTCGTAGAACTGAATGAGCAACTCCTCGAGCAGTCTGATCGGTGATCGTTGGGTCGACGTGGATGTCGTTGCTGAAACCACGGATGCTGTGGTCGAAGAGCCCAACGATTTGCGGCGAACCGTCGTCGTTGCCGTAGCTGTGGTTGTTGTGTTTGTAGCCGCAACCAGCACGTTTGTGACAGCGTCGTCGTCGCCTATTTCAACGTCTTCCTCGACGCTGGTGTCCAACTTTGCCGTGCTGCTGGCGTTCGAGCTTCCACGGCTGACGTCCCCACTGCCGCTGCAACTGCTGCTTTGACTCCGGCTGCGACTGCGACTGTGGCTGTGGCTGTTACTGCGACTCCGACTGGGACTCTCGCCCTCTATTGTGGACGCGGCTGCCGCTGCACCAACAGCTACAGCTGCGGCAGCAAGCAGCAGCGCACGTTCACGCTCCCGTCCCGGGTCAAAGATGGAGTGCTTCAGGAGTATCTCCTGTAGCTGTCGACGCTGGCGATGTGCGCTGTAGGGATTGACGAGTCGAAAGTCCCCGTAATACCTGGCGAGGCCGCGTACTCGCGACGCTATGTAGCCGATTTTTCGGAGAAGACGCACATCAGCGCTTAGCGCAGCAGCTGCCGCCGCTGCAGCAGCCGCGGCACCGGCGTGCGGGGACTGTAACTGATGCTGATGCTTGTGTTTGTGACGTCGCCCGCCGCCCACCAGTGCTGCATGTCCAGTTCCACTTACGTGGCTATGGGTGGGTATGAGACCTTGGTTATGAGCTGCCTCCAAAGCATTCGCGGCGGCGCTGACCACAACGAAGGAGGTGGCGCTGGTGGTACTGGCTGAAGATGGAAATCGCAATGGATGTGCTGCCCCTCCCTCGCCGGCTTCCTCGTTAGTGCTGCTGATCCTACTCCTGCTGCTGGAAATGCTGCTATCAATGCTGCTAGCGTCAGCGTCGACCTCGGCTTCTTCTTCAGCCTTAGCGTTGGGATCGTTGTGGTGTCCCCCTACGATTCCTTTGCAGTCGTCGTCGCTGTTGCTGTCGTCTACGTCGTCTTTGTCGTCGACAGCAGAGCTCGTTGTTGCTGTTGTCGCTGTTAGAACTGTTTCTCTTGTCGTTGTTAGGCCCGCGCCAACATCCTCAGACTCCTCAGACTCAGCACTGTCGCGGTCGACAAGTCCTGTTGTGGTTGCGGCTGTACTCGTCGTTGTTGTTGTGGTTGTAATTGAGCTGATAATTGTCAGGGCCTCGAGCTTGCCGGCGTCGTCGTTGTTACAAGTCTTTGCTGTTGAAGTTGTTGCTGCAGTTGTCGCAGCTGCTGATGCTGATGCTGTTGCTTGTTGCGCGCTTCCACGTCGACTACTGCTGCTGCAGCTATTGTCCTTGTACATTTATAACGGCCGATCGCACCTGTCGATAAAGTGTAGCTCGCGTTCTGCTCACTGTTCCAGTTGCGCTTCTGTAATCCCGGCGCGTTTTAAATGCTCGGAGTTTGGTTTTTGTAATTGTTATTAGTATTTGATTTGATTTGATTAGATTTTTTTTATGTTTTTGCTGTTTCAGCTGCTGTTGCTGCTGCTGCTGCTGCTGTTGGTGCTGTTGCTGTTGCTTTTGCTGTTGCTACTGCAACTGTAGCCGCCCGCATCTCTTGCATAAATTAATTTACATGCCGCATAGCGCCCACGACCGTCGCTCGCGCCTGCTGCTCACATCGTTTATGGCTCGTTTTTATGGTTGTTTCCCTTCACTTGCAATTTGTTATTGCCTTTAATGCTCTGCTAGCAAAGTTATGCAAATACTCTGCCCGACGTCGTCGCCAGAGCCAGGGCGTGCTCAAATCAATTCAGTGGAAAAGTTGATGCTACGAGCCTTTTTGGCATGTTCAACAGCTTGTTTCTGTTGTTCTTGTTGATGTAGTTGTTGTTGTTGTTGCTCCTCTTGTTGTTATCGTGCTTTACATTTTATTGTATATTAATTTTTATTATTTAACTGTACGTTTGTTGTTTGTTGGCGCACACAAAAAAGCGCGTGCTTTTCGGCTGCCACTGCCTTATACAGCGTCACTTCCGTTTCCGCTTTGCGTGTTCCACACTGTTAATGTGCCAGCCCCGAGGTCAAAGCTAACAGAGCTGCATCCTGTTCACAGCTGACAATGATGAATAATCTGCAAATTGAACGAAATATGTCGGTTATTAGAGATAAACTTGTACATATGTGTCTATAATCGATCTGAGCGCTTTCTCAAAATAAAGTTCTTATACTACAAGTATACCCCTCATTGCCATTTACTTTAACAACAGCTTCACACTTCCATGATAATGAAGGGCCAATACAAATGCAATGAAAAATTTGACAACGTACTGCCCATCATACAAAATGTGCACACACTTAATTCTGTTTTTACACGGTATTGAGTTAACACGGTTTGTTTTATATACGGTTGCACCACTTTATTCCGATTTATTACGATTCGAAAAGTTCCTGGAGAGCAAGAGGGAATCTCGTAAGCTGCGCACACATCAGTTCATACCTAACTTGATTAAATTAGTCATTAAAGTACTTTAAGTGCTTTTTAGCCCTCATACACAAAACAAACAGGGAAGATTGTTAACTACATCTAATAAAACAAAGGTAATTAAGAACCTATTGAAATGATAATACAACAACTACAAGTAGTCGTCTCAGTTTATTCAATTACTACGAAATACTGAACACATATGGTACACTCAACAAAAAACAGATACAAGTACTATATTTAAATAAATCAACTGCTGAACTGCTGAACTGGAACCTCTAGTCAATACTTTTCTCTATCGGCGCTCTTAGTATTTGATTTAAATAGAAATGTGCAAATATTTATTTGTATGTATGTTTTATGCGATTTTTTTTAGTGTATGTATGTAATAAGACTAACCTACTTTGTAAATAAAATAGCTAGCGTAGCTTGAACACACATGTATAGATTAACAACGATTTTTGATCAACATATATGTGTACAAGGAGGCGATTGCAGCTTATTTGGTGCAACAGATTAAATGCCATTTTACAATTTACGTTTATTTAAGGCTCGAAGCTTAAATTACATACTATACAAGTAGACATAGTATTTATGTATTTGCACAACTCAAATTTCTCACAATTCTTGCGATTGGCGCAACTATATTCCATCGAATGGACATGAGATTACATTTAAGTTTACAATTTACCTTTATTTATTGCTCGAAGCTTAAATAACACACACATAGTTTTAATGTATTTGCACTTTTCAAGTTTCTCACAACTCCTGGGATTGAAGTAAACAACGTTAATAATTGTAATTTTTATACCCTGTACCCATAGGGTAAATTTTCAAACATTAAATATATTAAAAATGTTTATAGGAATAAATTAAGTGACATAAATTTATCAGATTTATTACGAATTGGTTTAAGTGAAGAGGAAATAGACTTAGAAAAATTAATAAATGAATGTTCATAAATGTGATCAAAATTTGATCCGGTGTACTTTTTTTTCCTATTTTTTTGCTCGCAGTTTATGATGTTCTCATAACCCAAACGGTAGTTTTGTTGTAGATGTTGTTGTAGGACTCCCAAACTAAAATTTCGTGCCCACCGCTGATCTAGACATGTCAGTCCGTCTGGATGAACGCAAGGATCTCAGAAACTATAAAAGCTATAATAACCAAAGTTGGCATCCAGATTCTCCTAGGTCCCAAGTACAACCCCCACAAACTGCAGCAACAAGTTCGCTCTTCTTCTTCCTCTTTTTGCTGCTGCTTTGGGCGCATATAACTCAGTGACGGAAGTTTACTTGGGTACAGGGTATTACACTGTCGGGCTTGCTCGACTGTAGCGTTCTCTCTTGTTTTTCTTTAATTTCTGAATGCTAAGTTTGGTTATCCTAGCTATTGTACTTGCTGAGACTTGTCTGTACTTGTCTTGTCATCCTGATCAATAATATATATACTTTGTGATGTCTGCCACGCCTCCTTCTGTGTGCTACTTACATATATTCGCACAAAACTAATATAGTCTTTTACCCTTTGGGTACAGGCTATAATAAGTAAAATATAATGGTATTGCTCACTGTTAGTTCCTGCTAATTTCGTTTAAAATAAAGCTACCTAAATTTACTTATTGTCTTAAGACAGAGTATAAATAAATAAAATTTTAAAAAAATTTACAGAGTACACAAACACATACATTTTTTTCATAGGAGTTGGTATATGTTAGGGAGCTTCATTAAAATAAATCAAGCTTACCTTTTGGGTATCGGCTATAAAAATACCATTTCAAAACCATGATACTATCTTATTTTCGAAAACTCTGATTTTTTGCAGACCCAAAAACTAAGTCCTACACGAAGCCAAATGCATTTAGAGCCTAACAGTCAATATCTATTAAATCGACCCTATTTTATATTCAGATCAGAATTTTTTTTTAAATATAAATGTATGTATATTTTCATTCACAACACTTTTAATGCTTTGTGGCATATAAGTAATATTCCTTATGTATAAGTTGGAAGGTCCTGATAGTTTAAAATTTGTATTTCCCATTTACCAATTAATGTGCGAACTTCAATCAAGACAATCAAGCAAGACAATACGTAGTATAAATGTACGAAAAGGGAAGGATACTAAGCTGTTTTAATGTCTCGTTGGCAAAAGGTCGTACTGTCCCTTAATTGCGGCTGGCCTTTTGTAAATTTTATAATTACCTAGAGGGACGAGTCTCAATTGTGGCCAGCGCTTAAAACAAACTTGCACAATCAACGAATGAGCAGGTAGATAGCACACTCGCAATATAAATATTTTATAAAATATCGGTGGTACCTTTTTCGTGTCGTTGTGACAATCGATTGAAAAGTGCACTGAAAGATGAAGTGATGGATGGGTGGAGTGGTGGTGCGGCCAGGTTGATGACGACAGTATCAAAAGCAGACGTGCACGAGCCTGGCCTGGCCTGTCCTGTCCTCTCCTGTCCCGGCCTGGACTGGCCTGGCATCGCAAAAGCTTCAGCGGCGAAGCAAAAGCAATGTGTAAACTACGGCAATTGCACAAAGCGACGCAGGCGGTCAAAACGACAACGACACAACAACAACAACGGCACAACAAAACGGAACAGCAACAACAACAACAAGAGCAGAGCTAACAATGACAGCAAATGTCAAACAGTGACTTGCTCGGACCATCCGCCGTGGCTGTAGAAAAAGGCAACATCACCACATGATGTTGAGTGTACTTTTCTCTCTCTCTCTCTCTCCCACTTTATTTCATTCTGTAAACGAGCACACATCCATAAGCACACATACATATGTACATATGTAACAGTATTTTTATATGCGTAGGTATGTACATTTATATATGTATGTATGTATGTAGAGCCGTTTGTCTCCCACGCATTGCAGCCATCATCATCATCATCATCATCCTTATAGTTATTTACCATCAGCTCGTCTGCGGCTTTCTTCTAGCACACTTGACAATGCGACAAAACGAAGCGATATGTGAAAGCACATAACAAATGGGAAATGGCAGGGAGAGAGTATTACAGCACGGAGTAAGCAATGAGGAGTACGAATAAAGTGGCATGAGTATCGAAAAAACGCCTCATAGCGAACTAATTCGAGGGAGATGATACTCAAGAGCGGCCCAGCATCATTCTGCCACTATTTACTAACACTCTCATAGGCTATTTTTACCGAATACCAAGATATTCATTAATACTTACAACAAGAAAGAAACTTATTGCTTTATGATAAACAAGAAAGGAATGCTAAAGTCGAGCAGGCTCAACTCTTAAATATCCTGTACCACCCCACAAAAAATAAATTAAATTAATTTAATGTATTAATTAATTTAATTCAATTAATTAACTAAATTAAATATAAAATATTCCATGTATGCATAGATACATTTACATTTACATCAGAATCGTGCCTTATGCGTGTTTGTGTACTTGTACATATGTATGTATGTGTGCATTGGGCCTGGTTATATGGCTATAACTTTCTTTCTGATCAACCTATCACAATGAAACTTAGTATACGGATATATAATCACTAAGTTAATGTTACTACCAAATTTAATTCAAAATTTTAACAATTACGGGAGTTATAGAAAATCGTTAATAGGGGGAGAGTGGGGGGGGGGGGGTGGATCGGAAAAAATGAAGAAATACGTCCTTTCTCGGGGTCAGGAGAACCTGTATACCAAGTTTGGCTATTCTAGCTCTTATACCTTCTGTGTTCCGTGTACAGTCGCACAAAACTAATATACCCTTTTACCCTTATCAGCCGAGTCGATATAGCCATGTCCGTCTGTCCATCTGTCCGTGTGTATGAGCGCAAGGATCTCAGAAGGTACAAGAGCTAGAATGCCCAAACTTGGTATCCACGTTCCCCTGAACCCTAGGCAGGTCGAGTTTGTTTTTTTTTTATTCTGATTCACCCCCCAAACTTCCACACTATAGGGGTTTTCCCGATTTTCTATCCGTATAATCGCCTATATATCGGAGACTGCCCGCAGCTGTTGTTGATCTTGCTGTTTGGTTGACTGCAAACATGTTTACACATACACGAATAGACGCGCATAGCCATTCATTGCTTTGTATATGTGCAATTATACACCCTTTACGTGAGTTCGAATACCGAGAGAGATAAAATGCCGGCAGCGCTGCCCGCAGCTGTTGTTGTTGTTGCTGCTTTGGTTCAACTTTGTGCTGCATACATAAACACGCAGAGACACGACGATGTAAATGTACGCTGTTAAAACTGAACATAAACATGTCTTCTATGTATGCATTAAATAAATTTTCTTTATTAATTTAATTAATTAACTCAATTTTTTTAATAATTTAAGTTTTATTTAATTTTGTTTTTAATTTTCCTTTTTTGTGGAGAGTACAGGCTATTTTACTGTCGGGCTGGCTCGACTGTAGCGTTCTCCCTTGTTTTCTTTTATATCGACTCTGTATTTTAAAATCTGACACCTTATAATTCTCAACTAGTTCAAGTCAGTCTATAATGACCCGCCACTAAAATCTTCCGATTTCATTTATAAAAATTAGTAGCAATTCATATAATTTTATTTTCACTTATTTTGAATTTTATTTTCGAACCGGCAATGGCATTATATTTTATTTTTAATTTAAACAAGAGAGA